ACTGTAGGAGATGCAGTCTGTTCCCATATTTTTTTTCTTGTCAAACCTAGTCACTATTTTTTTTTTTTTTTTTTTTTTTTTTTTTTTTTTTTTTTTTTTACTATTTTTGCCACTGGTATTCCCTGTTATTATTGTTATCATATTCCCTGCTATTATTGTTCCTATTGTTATTATGGCTATTACTTTTATTTTGTATTATATTTTTTATTATCATTATTATTATCATTATCATTATCATGTTAGCATTGTTATTATTTCTATTATCATATGCAGGAGAGAGAAAACCAGAGAGTAAGTAAAAGAAGATAACAATAATCTTGTTGATAACGATGAACGGAACATAAACGTAGAAATGAAGGTAGTTGATAATGAATCTCTATTTTTTTTTTTCTTTTTTTTAATAAAATATCAATGAAATGCTAAGAAAGAACATTTTTTTATTGCTGTATATTTGTTTTTGTTTCCTATTTTGTTGTATATTTGTTGTTTGTGTCCCTGTTACATTTTTTATTTGCTGTTGCATGTTGTTATCGTATATTTGTAGCATATTATTGTTGCTGTATATCTTTTGTTCTTGTTTTGTTCTATGTTATTTGTTATCTTCCTTTTGAACGTTTCAAGATATATATATATGTCCTTTGTTTTATTGAGGTATATCTATTTAGAGATATTACCTTTTTATATATGATGCTCTGCTTTGAACGTATGTTATTTGTTATCTCTCTCTCCCTTTCTTTCTCTTTCTCTCAGTGTCTCCGTCCTCTCTCTCTTTCTCCTCTGTCCCTTTCTCTCTCTCTCTCTTTACTTTTACTCAGTGTAGTTTCATTGCATTCGTCGTATTGTACTTAAAGCTAGCATTTATTCGCTTCATACCAGTTTATTTATAATCAAAAACAAAATTATCACCATCGGAATAACTCATAACAACTATTATTAATCAAAATTACCAGCATCATTACTGCCATAACTTATTAACGCAAATTCTTACTATTACTACTACCATTTCCATCATCCAAATTTCCACTCAAGAGTTCAGATCATGTAACAGGCGAGGGGGGGAGGGGGGATACACGGAGCAGGAGAGGTAGTTCCCCGCGACTACGGAAGGAAGAACTCCCGCCCCGCCTCCTCTTCCCCGTCCACGTCTGGGGGGTATATAAGGCGGACCAGAAGTAGGAAGGGCACATTGTCCTTCTCAGAGACACGAAAACGACTCTTTCTCTCGACCCCAAGATGAAGCTGGTGAGTCCAGGATACTTCGTGTGTATCTAGAAGCCGTCCTTTTTTTCTTTTTTCCTTTTTTTTTTTTTTTTGGGGGGGGGTCTTATGTCAAAGGATACTTACTGAATGTATCTGCATATTTCCTCTGAACTTCGAAAACGTTTAACACTGTTGTACAATTTTGCAGATTTCAATGCTGATGGCCCTAGTTGTGGCCCTGTCTGGCCTCCTGGGTTCAGCTCGCGCCATGCCTAACCCCTTCCCCGTTGCTGACCCCGTGGCTGACCCTGACCCCGCGGCTGACCCCTGGTTCTTTAGACGCAGGCACCACTACCCACACTACCACCACTACCCCCGCTATCATCACTACCACCACCACTGGTGAAAATGTAGCTCAGTATATTTGGTTCCGATGAACTTACGCATCCATATATGATTTATGTATTCGACAATCTTGTCTTTATAAAAATAAAACCCTGAAAGAGGCATGCTTTTTGACAACCTTAATATCATTAAAGAATTAGGCTTGAAGTCTACACTAAGCTTGTACTTTTATCTCCGATGCTACCAAAATGTTAATGTTGAACATTACTGTGTGAATATAAGTATACTCACGTGCAAATCAAGGAACTCATGAGGAATCTATTCATATACACATGTGTCTATGCGTGTGGGTAAATAGATAGACAGTTTTATTGATTCACTGATTGTTAGTTATTGACGCATGTTTTATATATATATATATATATGTGTGTGTGTGTGTGTGTGTAATTTTACAGACTGTACATCCACTCATTATCAGAGATGAATGATGTAGCTTTTAACTTTTACGCAAATAACTTTTCAAGGTAACTTATATATCTTACTTTTCCCTTACTCTCCCCTCTTTTTCCTCCTTCCCCTTCTCTACCTCCTCTTTCCCCTTTTCTCCGCTTTCTTTTCCTCCTCCTAACCCTCCTCCTTCCCCTCTTTCCTTTCAGCCTCATCTTTCTTCCTTTATTTTCTCTATACCTTCTCCACCTGGTTCGTCGTAAATCGTCATACTATCATCTACGTCTTTTTTCGGCCAAAAAAGCGTTAGATAGTGAACAGCAGAAGTTAATAATAAGGCTTATGGAAAGGAAGAAGAGAAAGGCCGTGAAAAGAGAGATAGACGGTCACAGTAGATGATTGAAGTTACTAAATGATAGTAATGGTAGTAATAACATTGATGATTGTAATGATAATGATATTAATACCAGTGATAGAAACATTGATGCTAATAACAGTTATAACACTAATGGTAATGGTAATAATAAAGATACATTATTTTATGACAAAATAGACAGAAAAAAAACATGAAACTAACGAGGAAAACAGTCGTGTTCATGATAAGGATACTCGCTTTGGTACAGATGGATAAAGAAAAGGGAACAGCTACCGCAAACATCAAAAATGTAAAGGCTTTTTTGATTTTATAGCAAAGGTTTCACTGTATCTTGCTTGATGTGCGTATATGTGCGTATGGGATGTGCGTATAAGGTGTACGAGTGTGTCGTTTTGATTCGCCTCCAACCCGTTCGGATGGCAGGTTCGACTCAAACAAAGCATCATGTCAACCATCGTCGCTGGTTGCAATGTTTTTCATCTTATTTATATACACTAAGTGGTGAATTCCGTGAAATATGATAGGAATAATGTGAGATCAATTGTGAAGTGATGAGGGACGTAATATGAGGAAAATAACTGCAAATTTACACTGTTTAACTTGTTGATTATTCACTGCAGCCTCCATTTGCCCTAAAAATACCGACTCAAGGACACCGCTCTACCAGTGACTACCCTGGGCTTTTGCTCGATTCCCCCCGGTTGATTGACAGATATTTTATTCATATACATAATTATCAAAGTAAAATATTGCTTTTGTTATTCCACGAAGTCATATATTTATCGCAGAGGATAACATTAAACACAATAAAAAAAAATTATGGAAACAAAATCAAAGACAGAAACCACGACACAGAAGGAAACGAAGAAAATTATGGACTTGATTAATTGATGAGTTTCTCCTCTTCCTCCTCCTCCATCTTCGCTTTCTTCTTTTCTTCTCCGTCTGCCTCTTGTTTTTCTTTCTTTTTCTCTTCCTTCTAATCCCAGACTCATTAAATTCTTATCCTTTGTCCACTTTCTCTTCCTACTTAGGTTCTATTATTTTTTGCGTTTTTTTTTTATCTTTCTCTTTCCTTTTCTTTTTTCTTTTTTTCTTTTTTGCTCCCCTTTTTTTTCTTCTTCTTTCTGCTTATGTGTATCGATGTATTTTTTAATCTTTATCCCTACTGTTCTCTCAAAACAGATTTTATTATTCCTTAATGATCAGTAAATAACCTAAACCTGAAATAGTTGTGATGACGTTCATTAATCTTTTTTTCCAAAAAAATGTGTAACATCATTACCAGCATTATGATAACTATTATCTTTTTATCAACCTCATCATGATTATCATTGGTATCAATATATAGCTATTATCCTTACTATTATTATGAGCTTTATTATTATCAATATATTTGTATTTCATATCTTATTTAGCTTAATTGATTATCGTCAAGGTTTCTCCTCGGGTATATACAATAATCTATTAATATGTAATTACTATAAGCAAAATTTGCCTGCTTTTTCTTGGACATAAATATTAAAAAGAAATGAAAATTTAAGAGAACACAGTTACCTTAATACCGAACAAGCATTAAGTAATTATGTATGTAAAAGCTTATCTCTTTATCTTTTCTTCTGCTCCCCTCCCCCCTTTTTACTATTTTCTCTTTCTCTTTTCTTGTTTTCTCTTCCCCCATTCCTCTCTTCTCTTTTCTCTCCTCTCCCTATCTCTTTCTCTCCGCTATCTTTCTTTTCCCCCTTCTTGCCGATTCTTTTTCTCTCACTCTCTCTTCCGTCTCTCTCTGTCTCTAAATCTCTGTCTCTCATTCCGTCATCCACTAGCTCATTCCCTCTCTCTTTACGCAGAGACAAACCACATAGAATATGTTGGGACCAGAACGTTACCACATATCTCAAGAGTTATTCAAAATTCCTTTCAGATTTCTCGATCGTTCACTTCCTGACTAACCTTTCATCAAGAAACACATACATGCATACTTACAGCTCACAAACATACATATAAACGTATACATACAGAAACAAACTCACATAAAAACGAACATACGCACGTACACATCCAGAAAGCAATAACTTACAGAGGGAGAAAGAGCAAAATACATACAAGCACATACATAAACGCATACACACACATATATACACACACACACATACACACACACACACACACACACACACACACACATATATATATATATATATATGTGTGTGTGTGTGTGTGTGTGTGTGTGTGTGTGTGTGTGTGTGTGAGCACACACACACACACACACATATATATATATATATATATATGTGTGTGTGTGTGTGTGTGTGTGTGTGTATGTGCTGTGTGTATATATATATCTGTAGTATATATATCTATATATATATATACAATGCACACACACAAGCAAACATTTTGTGTTTCAATTTTGAGGTTGCAAAGTCTTGTGGAAATATCCTGCAGAAAAAAATGAAAGAATGAACATGTGAAGACAAAAAAAAAGAAGGAAAGAGGACAACAAAGGACAAAAACAGACGAAGAAGAAAAGGGATTTCCCCGCGTGTATGGAGCGAGGAAGGGCGCCCCAACCCCGCGCCCTCAGTGGGTATATAAGGAGCGAAGGAGGAAGGGGCCGCCATATTGCAATCGCTCTGCAACACTTCAACACTCTCTCGTCGCACCATGAAGCTGGTGAGTCGTTTACCTCGTCTGTAGATATACTGAATATATATGTACAGATATATACATGCATATATATATGTATATAATATAGTAAATAGTATGCCTATATGAATCTTTTTATTCAGGTAGATAGGTGTTCATATATATATATATATATATATATATATACACACATATATATATAAATAAATAAATATATATATATGTATATATATATATATATATATATATATATATATATGCATGTGTATATATATATATATGTATATATATATATATATATATATATATATATATATATATGTATATGTATATATATGTATATATACATACTTATATATATATACATACATACATATATATATATATATATATATATATATATATATATATATATATACATATATATATACATATATATATATATATACATATATGGATATATATACATACATATATATATATATATATATATATATGTATATATATATATTCATATATGTATACATATATATGTATGTATTCATGTATTTATATATTTACTTATTTATTTACTTATCTATATAAAACTTTGATAAAGAAAAATAATTATAACAGTAACATATATGATTATTTATTTATCTATTTATATGTATATGAGTATATTCATATAAAACTTTGATAAAATACGATAATCATAACAATAAGACGTTTGTTTGTTTTTTTCTCATTCAAATTTCATACTTTACAGATTTCACTCTTGATTGCCCTGGTTGTGGCCCTGTCTGGCCTCCTGGGTTCAGCTCGTGCCATGCCTGGCCCTTCCCCTGTGGCTGACCCCGTGGCTGACCCTGACCCCGTGGCTGACCCCTGGTTCTTCAAGCGCAAGCACTACTACCCCCGCCGTCACCACTACCCTCGTTACCACCACTACCACCACTGGTGAACATGAGAAAACGTTTCCCAGTAGAAAAACGTTTATTCTGAAGATAAGCTTAGATGGACTTTGTTACAGTTCATTTGCGTATCAAAATGTCATCGTATATTGTTAACTTTGTTGTAAAATAAAATCCTGAAATAAACAATTTGTTTAACGATACAAAATTCCCATCATAATGACCAGTTGCAGCTTGTTGATATTATCGTTTTAGAAATGCAATATTGACGTTTCCATGGACGTGAAAATGTTCCATAGTTACCAAAACCTGAGTATTCTACCCTTGGCGAGCTGGCTGTGTTGTCATTTTCAAGGTCTTCTAACTAACTGGTCGTGAATAACATGCAACGAGACACTACTCCCTTAATAGGAAAATTCACACTCTTATTAACAACAAATAAATGAGGGAAACAGTCGTGTTAAAGATAAGGACACTGGATTTGGTACAGATGGATAAGGAAAAGGGAACAACGACCGCAAACATCAATAATGTGAAGGCTTTATGGTTTTATAGCAAAGGTTTCACTGTATCTTGCTTGCTGTGCGTATATGTGCGTATGTAGTGTGCGTATAAGGTGTACGAGTGTGTCGTTTTGTTTCACCTCCAACCCGTTCGGATGGCAGGCTCGACTCAAACAAAGCACCATGTCAACTATCGTCGCCGGTTGCCATTCTGTGGTTTGCCATTCCACTCCGTGCTCCAAACCTCAACACTTTGAGAGCACGTCGGTCTTTCATCTTATTTATTTACAGTAATTGGCGAATTCCGTGAAGTAGGAAATTAATACTGTGAAGTTAATTGCGAAGTGATGAGAGAAGTAATGTGAGGAAAATAACTGCGAATTTTCACTGTTTAACTTGTGGAATATTCTTCTGCTACATATTTTTAACATTGTTATCCTATTATATATGTTTACCATAGCTATCGGCATCTTTTCCTTTTTTTCTTTTTTTTTTTATTAGTGGTGAAAATTTTCCTGCTGTAAGATATGCAGTCTGTTCCCATATCTGCTCCTTTCTTTTTTCTTGTCAAACCTAGTCACTATTTTTTTTTTTTTTTATTACTATTTTTGCCACTGGTATTCCCTGTTATTATTGTTATCATATTCCCTGTTATTATTGTTCCTATTGTTATTATGGCTATTACTTTTATTTTGTATTATATTTTTTTATTATCATTATTATTATCATTATCATTATCATGATATCATTATTATTATTTCTATTATCATATGCAGGAGAAGAAACCAGAGAGTAAGTAAAAGAAGATAACAATAATCATGATGATAACGATGAACGGAACATAAAAGTAGAAATGAAGATAGTTGATAATGAATCTCTATTTTTTTTTTTTTTTTTAATAAAATATCAATGAAATGCTAAGAAAGAACATTTTTTTTATTGCTGTATATTTGTTTTTGTTTCCTATTTTGTTGTATATTTGTTGTTTGTATCCCTGTTGCATTTTTTATTTGCTGTTGCATGTTGTTATCGTATATTTGTAGCATATTATTGTTGTTGTATATCTTTTGTTCTTGTTTTGTTCTATGTTATTTGTTATCTTCCTTTGAACGTTTCAAGATATATATATGTCCTTTGTTTTATTGAGGTATATCTATTTAGAGATATTACCTTTTTATATATGATCCTCTGCTTTAAACGTATGTTATTTGTTATCTCTCTCTCCCTTTCTTTCTCTTTCTCTCAGTGTCTCCGTCCTCTCTCTTTCTCCTCTGTCCCTTTCTCTCTCTCTCTTTACTTTTACTTTAGTGTAGTTTCATTGCATTCGTCGTATTGTACTTAAAGATAGCATTTATTCGCTTCGTAACAGTTTATTTATAATCAAAAACAAAATTATCACCATCGGAATAACTCATAACAACTATTATTAATCAAAATTACCAGCATCATTACTGCCATAACTTGCTATATTATTAACGTAAATTCTTACTATTACTACTACCATTTCCATATTCCAAATTTCCACTCAAGAGTTCAGATCATGTAACAGGCGAGGGGGGGGGGGGGACACGGAGCAGGAGAGGTAGTTCCCCGCGACTACGGAAGGAAGGAGGAACTCCCGCCCCGCCTCCTCCTCCCCGTCCACGTCTGGGGGGGTATATAAGGCGGACCAGAAGTAGGAAGGGCACATTGTCCTTCTCAGAGACACGAAAACGACTCTTTCTCTCGACCCCAAGATGAAGCTGGTGAGTCCAGGATACTTGTGTATCTAGAAGCCGTCCAATTTTTTTTTTTTTTTTTTTTTTTGGGGGGGGGGGTTCTTATGTCAAAGGATACTTACTGAATGTATCTGCATATTTCTACTGAATTTCGAAAACGTTTAACACTGTTGTACAATTTTGCAGATTTCAATGCTGATGGCCCTAGTTGTGGCCCTGTCTGGCCTCCTGGGTTCAGCTCGCGCTATGCCTGACCCCTTCCCCGTTGCTGACCCCGTGGCTGACCCTGACCCCGCGGCTGACCCCTGGTTCTTTAGGCGCAGGCACCACTACCCACACTACCACCACTACCCCCGCTATCATCACTACCACCACCACTGGTGAAAATGTAGCTCAGTATATTTGGTTCCGATGAACTTACGCATCCATATATGATTTATGTATTCGACAATCTTGTCTTTATAAAAATAAAACCCTGAAAGAGGCATGCTTTTTGACAACCTTAATATCATTAAAGAATTAGGCTTGAAGTCTACACTAAGCTTGTATTTTTATCTCCGATGCTACCAAAATGTTAATGTTGAACATTACTGTGTGAATATAAGTATACTCACGTGCAAATCAAGGAACTCATGAGGAATCTATTCATATACACATGTGTCTATGCGTGTGGGTAAATAGATAGACAGTTATATTGATTCACTGATTGTTAGTTATTGACGCATGTTTTATATATATATATGTGTGTGTGTGTAATTTTACAGACTGTACATCCACTCATTATCAGAGATGAATGATGTAGCTTTTAACTTTTACGCAAAAAACTTTTCAAGGTAACTTATATATCTTACTTTTCCCTTACTCTCCCCTCTTTTTCCTCCTTCCCCTCCTCTACCTCCTCTTTCCCCTCTTCTCCTCTTTCTTTTCCTCCTAACCTTCCTCCTTCCCCTCTTTCCTTTCAGACTCCTCTTTCTTCCTTTTTTTCTCTATACCTTCACCTGGTTCGTCGTAAATCGTCATACTATCATCTACGTCTTTTTTCGGCCAAAAAAGCGTTAGATAGTGAACAGCAGAAGTTAATAATAAGGCTTATGGAAAGGAAGAAGAGAAAGGGCGTGAAAAGAGAGATAGACGGTCACAGTAGATGATTGAAGTTACTAAATGACAGTAATGGTAGTAATAACATTGATGATTATAATGATAATGATATTAATACCAGTGATAGAAACATTGATGCTAATAACAGTTATAACACTAATGGTAATGGTAATAATAAAGATACATTATTTTATGACAAAATAGACAGAAAAAAAACATGAAACTAACGAGGAAACAGTCGTGTTCATGATAAGGATACTCGCTTTGGTACAAATGGATAAAGAAAAGTGAACAGCTACCGCAAACATCAAAAATGTAAAGGCTTTTTTGATTTTATAGCAAAGGTTTCACTGTATCTTGCTTGATGTGCGTATGGGATGTGCGTATAAGGTGTACGAGTGTGTCGTTTTGATTCGCCTCCAACCCGTTCGGATGGAAAGTTCGACTCAAACAAAGCACCATGTCAACCATCGTCGCTGGTTGCCATGTTTTTCATCTTATTTATATACACTAAGTGGTGAATTCCGTGAAATATGATATGAATAATGTGAGATCAATTGCGAAGTGATGAGGGACGTAACATGAGGAAAATAACTGCAAATTTACACTGTTTAACTTGTTGATTATTCACTGCAGCCTCCATTTGCCCTAAAAATACCGACACAAGGACAACGCTCTACCAGTGACTACCCTGGGCTTTTGCTCGATTCCCCCGGTTGATTGACAGACATTTTATTCATATACATAATTATCAAAGTAAAATATTGCTTTTGTTATTCCCCGAAGTCATATCTATATCACAGAGGATAACAATAAAACAATCAAAGGTTAATGGAAACACAATCAAAAGCAGAAACCACGACACAGAAGGAAACGAAGAAAATTATGGACTTGATTAATTGATGAGTTTCTCCTCTGCTTCCTCCTCCATTTTCGCTTTCTTCTTTTCTTCTTCGTCTGTCTCTTGTTTTTCTTTCTTTTTCTCTTCCTTCTAATCCCAGACTCATTAAATTCTTATCCTTTGTCCACTTTCTCTTCCTACTTAGGTTCTATTATTTTTTTTTTTTATCTTTCTCTTTCCTTTTCTTTTTTCTTGTTTTCTTTTTTGCTCCCCTTTTTTTCTTCTTCTTTCTGCTTATGTGTATCGATGTATTTTTTTATCTTTATCCCTACTGTTCTCTCAAAACAGATTTTATTATTCCTTAATGATCAGTAAATAACCTAAACCTGAAATAGTTGTGATGACGTTCATTAATCTTTTTTTCCAAAAAAATGTGTAACATCATTACCAGCATTATGATAACTATTATCTTTTTATCAACCTCATCATGATTATCATTGGTATCAATATATAGCTATTATCCTTACTATTATTATGAGCTTTATTATTATCAATATATTTGTATTTCATATCTTATTTAGCTTAATTGATTATCGTCAAGGTTTCTCCTCGGGTATATACAATAATCTATTAATATGTAATTACTATAAGCAAAATTTGCCTGCTTTTTCCTGGACATAAATATTAAAAAGAAAATTTAAGAGAACACAGTTACCTTAATACCGAACAAGCATTAAGTAATTATGTATGTAAAAGCTTATCTCTATCTTTTCTTCTGCCCCCCTCCCCCCTTTTTACTATTTTCTCTTTCTCTCTCTTTCCTTGTTTTCTCTTCCCCCATTCCTCTCTTCTCTTTTCTCTCCTCTCCCTATCTCTTTCTCTCCGCTATCTTTCTTTCCCCCCCTTCTTGCCGATTCTTTTTCTCTCACTCTCTCTTCCGTCTCTCTCTGTCTCTAAATCTCTGTCTCTCATTCCGTCATCCACTAGCTCATTCCCTCTCTCTTTACGCAGAGACAAACCACATAGAATATGTTGGGACCAGAACGTTACCACATATCTCAAGAGTTATTCAAAATTCCTTTCAGATTTCTCGATCGTTCACTTCCTGACTCACCTTTCATCAAGAAACACATACATGCATACTTACAGCTCACAAACATACATATAAACGTATACATACAGAAACAAACTCACATAAAAACGAACATACGCACGTACACATACAGAAAGCAATAACTTACAGAGGGAGAAAGAGCAAAATACATACAAGCACATACATACATGTATATATATATGTGTGTGTGTGTGTGTGTGTATGTGCTGTGTGTATATATATATCTGTAGTATATATATCTATATATATATATACAATGCACACACACACACAAGCAAACATTTTGTGATTCAATTTTGAGGTTGCAAAGTCTTGTGGAAATATCCTGCAGAAAAAAATGAAAGAATGAACATGTGAAGACAAAAAAAAAGAAGGAAAGAGGACAACAAAGGACAAAAACAGACGAAGAAGAAAAGGGATTTCCCCGCGTGTATGGAGCGAGGAAGGGCGCCCCGACCCCGCGCTCTCAGTGGGTATATAAGGAGCGAAGGAGGAAGGGGCCTCCATACTGCAATCGCTCTGCAACACTTCAGCACTCTCTCGTCGCACCATGAAGCTGGTGAGTCGGTCACCTCGTCTGCAGATATACTGAATATATATGTACAGATATATACATACACACACATACACACACACACACACACACACACACACATATATATATATATATATATATATATATATATATATATATATATATATATATATATATTTATATTTATATTTATATAATATAGTATATAGTATACCTATATGAATCTTTTTATTCAGGTAGATAGATGTTCATATATATATATATATATATATATATATATATATATATATATATATATATATATATATATATTTAAATGTACATGTATAAATTTATATATATATATTTATATATATATATATATATATATATATATATATATATATATATATATATATATATATATATATACATGTATATATATATATATATATATATATATATATATATATATATATATATATATATATATTTATATGGATACATATATTTATATATATACATACATATATATATATATATATATATATATATATATATATATATATATATATATATATATATGTATATATATATATATATATATATATATATATATATATATATATCGGTCACCTCGTCTGCAGATATACTGAATATATATGTACAGATATATACATACATAGATAGATGTTCATATATATATATATATATATATATATATATATATATATATATATATATATATATATATTTAAATGTATATGTAATTATATATTATATATATATATTTATATATATATATATATATATATATATATATATATATATATATATATATATATACATATATATATATATATATATATATATATATATATATATATATATATATATATTTATATGGATACATATATTTATATATATACATACATATATATATATATATATATATATATATATATATATATATATATATATTCATATATGTATACATATATATGTATATATTCATATATTTATATATTTACTTATTTATTTACTTCTCTATATAAAACTTTGATAAAGAAAAATTATTATAACAGTAACATGTATGATTATTTATTTATCTATTTATATGTATATGTGTATATTCATATAAAACTTTGATAAAATACGATAATCATAACAATAAGACGTTTGTTTGTTTGTTTTTCTTATTCGAATTTCATACTTTACAGATTTCACTCTTGATGGCCCTGGTTGTGGCCCTGTCTGGCCTCCTGGGTTCAGCTCGTGCCATGCCTGGCCCCTTCCCTGTGGCTGACCCCGTGGCTGACCCTGACCCCGTGGCTGACCCCTGGTTCTTCAAGCGCAAGCACTACTACCCCCGCCGTCACTACTACCCCCGCTACCACCACTACCACCACTGGTGAACATGAGAAAACGTTTCCCAGTAGAAAAACGTTTATTCTGAAGATAAGCTTAGATGGACTTTGTTACAGTTCACTTGCGTATCAAAATGTCATCGTATATTGTTAACTTTGTTGTAAAATAAAATCTTAAAATAAACAATTTGTTTAACGATACAAAATTCCCATCATAATGACCAGTTGCAGCTTGTTGATATCATCGTTTTATCAATGCAATATTGACGTTTCCATGGACGTGAAAATGTTACATAGTTACCAAAATCTGAGTATTCTACCCTTGGCGAGCTGGCTGTGTTGTCATTTTCAAGGTCTTCTAACTAACTGGTCCTGAATAACATGCAACGAGACATTTGGCTGAATTGTACACTAAAACATACATTTATGTTTGTCACATACACCAAGGTTATTTTTAGGGCTTTGACATAGGTATATATATGCATATATGTATGTGCGATGCTTTATCAGTTTGTTGATTTCTTCCTAACACAATGGACGCACCAATGTCG